CCCCGGGGGGCCCCCCGGGGGGCCCCCCGGGGGCCCACCCGGGGGGGCCCCCCGTGGGGCCACACATGGGGGGGCCCCCCATGGGGCCCCTCATGCACCAGCAGCAAGCCGAAACCGGCATGCATGCTGCAGCAGGGGACCCTGCAGCAGCAGCAGCAGCAGCAGCAGCAGCAGCAGCAGCAGCCTACAGTGCGGGGGAACCTCCTCTCAGGGACCTCGGGGGCCCCTCTATGGGGCACCACCCCGGGGGACCCCGGGGGGCCACTCTTGACGGGCAGCAGCAGCAGCAGCAGCAGCAGCAGCAAGGCGGCCTGTGGAGCCCCGAGGAAGCAGCAGAAGCAGCAGCACCAAAGACAGCAGCAGAAGCAGAAGAGGAGGCCCTTTTTGCCTTTCTTGAAAAGGTGGGCCCCCGAAACTTTTTAAATGGGGGCCCCCTATTTTAATAGGGGACCCCCTCAAGGGGCTCCCATTTGCTATCAAAATGGGGGCCCCCCATTTTAAGAGGGGGCCCCCTCAAGGGGGCCCCCATTTGTTATTAACATGGGGGCCCCCCATTTTAAGAGGGGGCCCCCTCAAGGGGGCCCCCATTTGTTATTAAAATGGGGGCCCCCGTGAGGGGCCCCCTGAATGGGAGTGCCTTAGGGTGAGGGGACCCTGTGGGGCCCCTCTGCAAGCACTTTTGTGTATTTGCTGCTGCTGCTGCTGCTCTTGCTGCTGCTGCTGCGCATGCACTTTTGTGTATTTGTTGCTGCTGCGGCTTTTGCTGCTGCTGCTGCTGCAGGCGTTGGCGACAGCAACTACTCAGAGACTGCTGCAGGAAGTAGGTCCCCTGCTGCTGCCCGAAGACCCCCCAGCAGCAGCAGCAACAGCAGCAGCAGCAGTAGCAGCAGCAGGGAGCCCGAAAGGGCCCCTGAGATCTTCCACTCTGCGGCTGCTGCTGGAGCTAAAAGAGGGGCCCCCGGAGGCCCCCCTTTGGGACCTGCAGGAGGGCCCTTCCACTGCAGCAGCAGCAGCAGCAGCAGCAGAGCAGCCTAAACTCAAAGAAGAAAAGGAAGAAGAGGGGCCCCTGGGGCCCCCCTCCCCCCAGCGCCTGCGGCTCGGGGGGCCCCCAGAGGAGCAGCAGGGGGCCCCTGAGCTTCCTGCTTTACGCATTCGGGGTGACATGGAAGCAGCAGCAGCAGCAGCTGCTGCTGCTGGATC